AGGGCTGGAGGGATGCCTGGGGCTCGGCTTCCCCATTCCTGGGCTTGGTCTTGTATTTGCTATTTATGCTGTGTACCAAATTATCACAAATTCAGCAGCCAAAAGCAACGCCCCTTTCTTTGGGTCAGAAGCCTCACGTGATTCTCTGCCCAGGGTCTCCACACACTGTAATTGAGGTGCCCGCTGGGCTGTGGTCATCCCCAGGACTCAGCGTCCTTCCAGATTCACATGGTTGTTGGCAGATGTCAGTTCTGTGCCATTGTAGGTCTGGGGGTCCCCTGTGCTTGAGGGCTGCTGGCTGGGGACCACTGAGCCCCTGGGAGAGCCCGCAACTCCCGGCTGGGCCAGCCCCTCTGTGGGGAGCCTGCTGCTCACTGTGCTGGAGTCCCCCAGAGCTGTTTCCTTCCAGGCCAGTGAGAGAATCAGGGAAGGCTGAACCCTCTTACACAGGACTCACTTGATTAGGTCAAGCTGTCCGTAATCATCTGCCTTTGAATAACTCCAATTCAACTCATTAGAGACCTTAGTTACATCTGCAAACCCTTTCATCATTCCCACCCAGTGAAACCTACTTGCGGAAGTGAAATCCTATCAAAGCCCAGACTCCGCTGCGCTGAAGGGAAGGCCGCACACGGGGTCTCTCTAGCTTTCTGCCTGCCCACACTTCCGTCTGGGCAAAAGCACTTTATTCTTTTCACTGTATTTTTACGTCAACCCTGGAGGGCCCGACAAGCCCCAGACACCATGCTTCCCACTGTGCTGTCGATCTGAACAGCTCAACAAGGCACATCTCATTGTCCTGTTTTACAGATGAGGAAACTGAGGCTCGAAGAGGGGTGAGGCCCACGAAGGAGAGCCTGCGGCGGGGTGCACTGGGTCAGACCCAGTCGGAGAGGGGCAGAGCCTGGACTCAAGCCTGCTTCCTGCCCCTGAGCTTGCATAGACCCCACCCTGCTGCTGGGGCACAGGTCCCGCCAGCTGCCCAGCCTGGACCCACAGCCCTGCTCCCCGGCCAGGCGCTAGGCACAGGGCATGCGAGCAGACTGCTGCCAAGCTCCCTGAAAACACAGCCTGGATCACTGACGGTGCCTACTGGAGTCCAAGGGTACCTCCATGCCCAAAGAGTGTCACCCGGACACACTGCTCCACACACACTGGAGACCCTTGTGGCCTGCTTGAACCCCTCTGCTGACGGGGAGCTCACTTCTGCCTTAGGTGTCTTCTCCCATCTTCGGAGAACTCTGCTCAGGAGAGAGTTCAGCCTCACGCTGGGCCACAAACCACCTCCTCTCAACTCCTGGGCTCCGTGGCGAAGATGAGGCTGACACAGACTGGCTGTGCGTGCACTCGGGGTGGTGGCCTGCATGCTGCCCAGCCCTGCCCAGAGCTGGCTGCTCATGCTGTTCTCTTGAGTGGAGATAGTGATCTCTCTGTTCAAGAGAACAGCAGGGCAACCAGTTCCCTGGGGATGGTGACCATCCCTCTCTGAGCCTCAGCTTCCTCATGCAAAACGAGGGTCCATCCCAGACGCGGCCAATATTTGCTCCTGGATCAACCAGTGCAGGGAAGGACGTGGGCTCCAGGAGACAGGAGGCGGCTGTGCTGGGTGGAGCTCCCTTGCCTCTGAGTCAGGAGCAGGTGCTGTGTGACCCTGGGCAAGGTGCTTTCCTTCTCTGTTCAGGGGAGAGTCTCCAGGGACCCCAACAAGGAGTGTGATTTCAGCCCCAGTCCCAGGAGCCATCTGGGCAGGCCTGGAACACTCCTGCAGTTCCCCGCACCTGCCCGAGGCGGTTCCTGGAGCCCGTGCCATGGGTGCTTGCTGAATGTGTGTGGGAAGGTGACCGAGTTGACCTGGGGTCGTGGCTACATCCCTCTAAAACCAGAGCAGCTGGCTTCTGAGCTGGGAGCCCACTGGCTGCATAGGGCGGGCACGTGCCCACTGCACGTCTCCTCATCTCATGCCCATTCTGCGGAAGGGGGTTGTTGCCCGGGAACCAGCCTCTGAAGGGCAGAGCAGGGCTGGGGACCAGTGGGCTTGGGCTCCCGCCAGCTGGGCCCTGACCTCCGCCCACTGCGAAGGGCCTGGCTGCCTGGCTCTGCACACACCAGCGTTGTGCCCTCATTTCCAGGCGTTCTCTCCTCACTCTGGGAACCTCGGGGTAGGGTTTGTCTCTGGTTACAGAGGAAGAGACGGAGGGTCTGAGATGTTAAGTGAGTTTGTTACTGGAAGGGGTCCCGATCCAGATCCCAAGAGAGGGTTCTTGGATCTCACACGAGAAAGAACTCGGGGCGAGTCCGTAATGTGAAAGCAAGTTTATCAGGAAGTAAAGGAATCAAAGAATGGCTGCTCCGGCCGGGTCAGTGGCTCCCGCCTGGAATCCCGGCACTGCGGGAGGCCCAGGCAGGCGGATCACCTGAGGTCAGGAGTTCAAGACCAGCCCGGCCAACATGGCAAAATACCTGTCTCTACTGAAATACAAAAAATTAGCCGGGCGTGGTGGCGGGTGCCTGTAATCCTAGCTACTAGGAAGACTGAGGCAGGAGAATCACTTAACCCTAGAGGTGGAGGTTGTAGTGAGCAGAGATGGCGCCACCGCACTCCAGCCTGGAGGGCTAAAGGCCACAGTTTGTCAGAAAAAAAAAAAAAAAAAAAAAGAATGGCTACTCCAGAGGCAGAGCAGCCCCGAAGGCCAAAGGCCGCTGGTTGCCCATTTTCACGGTTATTTCTTGATCACACGCTGAACAAGGGGTGGACTATTCATCGGTCTTCCAGGAAAGGGATGGGCAGTTCCCAGAACTGAGGGCTCCTCCCCTCCCTTTTGAGACCATATAGGGAAACCTCCAGATGTCCCCATGGCGTCTGTGAACTGTCGTGGCGCTGGTGGGAGCGTCCTTTAGCAGCTAGTGCATTCTAATTAGCATATAGTGAGCGCCGAGGGGAGCCAGAGTCACGCCCATCGCCATCTTTGTTTGCTGGGATTTGGCCGGCTTCTTTACTGCCACCTGCTGTATCAGCAGGGTCCTTGTGACCTGTACCTTGTGCCCACCTCCTGTCTCATCCTGTGACCGAGAATTCCTGACCTCCTGGGAATGCGGCCCAGCGGGTCTCAGCCTCATTTTACCCAGCCCCCATTCAAGACGGAGAGGCTCTGGTTCCACGGCCTCCAGCAGCTTGCCCTGGGTATTGTCAGTAGGAAGCAGGCCGCTGTTATCCCTGGGGCTGCCCCTCTGCTCCAGCGTGGGGGCCTCGTTTTAGTGGTGACCGAACAGGACTCAGAGAAATCAGCTCCCTCACCCCGAATCCACAGAGTGTGAGTGGTAGGCCGGGGTCTGAATCCGGGAAGACCCATCATGTCCTCTGGGCCCCCAGGCTCTTCTGCCCGGGAGGAACAGGATGCCGGGAGCCAGTACCCTCGTGCGGCCAGGCAGGGTGGGTGGAGATGGGGAGGCACAGTGCCACAGGTGGGGGGCCGAGAGCGACCCAGGCCTGCAGACCTCACCCCACCCCGAGAGGCATGGCTGCAGGCCCGGCCCGGCGGGCAGGAGGTCTGTGTCCTCAGCAACCATGATGGTGCTTCCCGCTGGCCCAGCCGGCCGTGTTGTCCTCAAGTTTCCAACCATGCGGCCTCCGCTCCAGTCCCCAAGCCCAGCCTGCAGAGACAGCGGCGTGGGGTCAGGATGAGGTTGTCAGCAGCTCTGATCTGCTGCTTCCTGCCAGCCCCGCGGACGGTTCTGGAAAGCTCTGTGCTGCCACCTGGCGGGCAGGCTGGCGGCAAGGATGGGGCTCCCCTGCCGCGCTCCCAGGGCCTCCTGGCTCTGCCACCTCTGCTGGGTGGAAAACAACCCGGACTGAACCAGCAGGTGGGCGCCTGAGCCCTATTATCCGAGCTCCGCCCACTGCAAGTCTCTCTCAAGCCTCGGTTTCCCCTTCCACTAGACAAGGGGCTCGAGGGATACCAAGCAGGGGTAACTGCTTAGTGGGGATGGGAGGTTTCTTCTGGGGAGACGAAGACGTTTTTAACTAGACGGAGTGAGTGGCCGCACAGCACTGTGAATGCACAAACGCCACCACACTACTCGCCTTGAAATCGTTAATTGCATGCTGTGTGAACGTCGCGCCATTTAAAAGTTGTTTATAGGAGGGGCCTGGGAGAGGGCAGCGTGCGTGAGAATCACGTGGGGCAGCCGCAGCCTCCGAGCCTCAGTTTCCTTGCCGTAAACTGGCAAACAGACCGTGTCAGCCGTGTTTCCTGGGGCCAAGAGATTCTAAGAAGGAAAACGTGGGATTGCTGGGGACTGGGATGAGGGCTGGGGCCGGAAGGGGAGGGGTACGTGGGGAGGGCCAGGGGCAGCCCAGATGAGGCTTTCAACACCAGGCGGCGGCGTCTACACAGGCGGGGAGCCCTGCCTCTCACTTCCCGCAGGGCTGACCAGTGGCCGGAGGTGGGGCTGGCCAGGCTTGGCCCAGCCGAGTGTGGGACCAGAGGATACTCAACAGGAGATGACCTGGGCCACCCTCACTGGCCTGTGGCTCTCCTGACACCATAAGGGAGGTTCAGGAGCTGCCCTTGGATCCTAATGGGTGGCACCCTCCTGGCAGCAGGCTGGTAGGGTGGTGTGCCGGTCAGCGCACTGGGCTCTGCTAATTGGCCCCTACCTGCTGTGTGATGGTGGGACAGACACCTAACATCTCTGTGCCTCTATTTCTTCAAAGGGGCACTAGCAGCCCCCACCTCCAGGCACAGTGGCCTGAGGATTAAAGGCAAGCGTGCCATGAGACCTACAGCAAAAGCTCAGAGCAGGCACCTCCCCAGGGACTACCTCCACCGTCTCCCCTCTGGCCGCCAAAGAAACCGAGGCTCATGGTGACCTGCCCCAAGTCTGTTGGACTCAGGGTCTTTCTCATACCCAAGATCAGGACATAGCAGCAGGGCTGCCCCCAGGGGAGGGAGCTGGCCCTTAGACACGCCAGGGAAGGATGCCTTTGTGACTTCAGTAAGTTATTGCAAAAAAAAAAAAAAAAAAAAAAATCCCATTTATTGCTATTTGACCCGTGCTTTCATGCCTCCATTTGCCAGAAAATGAGCCACTGGTGACACCAGGAGAGGCAGGAGACCACACCTCCCCCCCGCAACCCCTGCATACCGCCAGCACAAAACCCACTTCCTTGGACCCTGTCCTCAGCGAGGGTGGCCGGGGGCCAGCCAGGGGGCCCACCCGCAGAGCGGCAGGGGAGGCAGATTGACCCTGCGGATGTTGAGCTCCGTGGCGAAGGTCCTGGCCTTCTGGTAGAAGAAGAGCGACTTCTCGCGGTCCAGGAGGAAGTTGTGGTAGATGGTGGCCAGCCGCGTGTAGATCTTCAGCTGCGCCTTCTTGTTACCCAGGTCCACGGCGGCCGCCAGTGCCAGCTGGTAATACCCAGCTGCGTCAAACGGGTCCTGAAGGGGACAGGCCATGCTCAGCCAAAAGGAGACTTGAAGCCCATCTTCCCAGAGGCCGTTCCCGTCTCCAGGTCTGACCATCAGGTCCCACCAGCACCAGCTCACCCCAGGAGCCCCGAAGCCTGTGAAACTCCACGGCTGTAGGCCCCGACACCCCTGGACGCCTTCCTGACTGTCCCTACACCTGAGCCACCCTGAGCCTCCTGCCCCAGCCCCACGCTCTCTGCAGGCAGTGACCGCTTTCCCTGTGGGCTGCGGTTGGGGTGGAGCCTGTCTGCTCTGAGAGTCCCATGCGGGACCCGTGGCGCCCAGCCACAGCAGGGGCACAGCGTTGTTGAGTGACCCAGGCTTCCCTCTGACCCCTGTCCACAATGACCATTTCCAGGCCCTTCCACGGGCCGGGCCAGGTGCAAAAGTATCTCACAGGTGTCATCTCTGGGACTCTTCTCTGAACTAGGGACAGAGAGTGACTCCCCAGACCTCTGCTACCATTTTAGATGCATCTTTGGCTCAAACTCGCCATCCCTGGGTTGGGACGTGGCCTCCCAGCCCTCCTCCTTGACCCTCCCACCCCCCACCCAGCTTCTCCCCAGGCGCCTCCTCCACACGGGGGTCACCCAAGGGACCTCTCCAAGACCCATGCCTGGCTCAGCCCCCTTTACCATCTCAAGACAGCTCCCAGGGCCAAGGACAAAATCCAAGGTGCAGAGCTGGTTCGTCCCCTCACTGCCCACCCACACACGGGGCAGGGGCGTAGCCAACACCCCCCAGCCCACCCAACACTGGACTCTGCCGGGTGCACGGCTGAGCCTAATGTCCCTGCTACCAGTCTGGGGGACCTGGGAGTGAAAACTGACTGCACAGGGTGGCCAGGGCTGTGGCAGAGGGAAGCCTGGGAGCCTGTGGCGAGCCCGGGACTCAGCCTGGGGTGGGAGGCGAGGGCTTCCTGAAGGAGGGGGCATCCCAACTAAACAGGAAAGAGCCAGTCAAAGCATGTGTCTGTGCACCTGTGTGTGCATGTGCCTGTGTGTGCACCTGTGTGTGTGTGCCTGTGTGTGTGGCTGTGTGTGTTCCTGTGTGTGTGTTCCTGTGTGTGCATGTGCCTGTGTGTGTGCCTGTGTGTGCATGTGTATGTGTGTGTGTGCCTGTGTGCATTTGCAAGTCCCTGTGTGTGTGCCTGTACCTGTATGTGCCAGTGTCTGTGTGTGCGCCAGTGCCTGTCTGTGCCTGTGTGCGTGTACCTGTGTGCCTGTGCCTCTGTGTGTGTGTGTGCGTGTACCTGTGTGTGCCTGTGCCTGCGTGTGTACCCGTGTGTGTACCTGTGTGTACCTGTGTGTGTGTACCTGTGTGTGTGCGTGTACCTGTGTGCCTGTGCCTCTGTGTGTGCGTGTACCTGTGTGTGTGCCTGTGCCTGTGTGCATGTACCTGTGTGTGTGCCAGTGCTTGTGTGTGCCTGTGTGTATGTGCCTGTGCATGTGCGTGTGTACCTGTGTGTGTGCCTGTGTGTGCACGCATACCTGTGCCTGTGCCTGTGTGTGCATGTGTACCTGTGTGTGTGCCCGTGCCTATGTGTACCTGTATGTTTGTACCTGTGCCTGTGTGCATGTGTAGCTGTGTGTGTGCCTGTGCCTGTGTGTGCGTGTATACCTGTGTGTGCATGTGCCTGTGTGTGTGCACCTGTGTGTGCGCATGCCTGTGTGTGCAAGTGCCTGTGTGTGTGTGTGTGCCTGTGTGTGCATGTGTATGTGTGTGTGTGCCTGTGTGCATTTGCAAGTCCCTGTGTGTGTGCCTGTACCTGTATATGCCAGTGTCTGTGTGTGCCAGTGCCTGTCTGTGCCTGTGTGCGTGTACCTGTGTGCCTGTGCCTGTGTGTGAGTGTGCGTGCGTGTACCTGTGTGTGTGCCTGTGCCTGCGTGTGTACCCTTGTGTGTGTACCTGTGTGTACCTGTGTGTGTACCTGTGTGTGTGCGTGTACCTGTGTGCCTGTGCCTCTGTGTGTGCATGTACCTGTGTGTGTGCCTGTGCCTGTGTGCACGTACCTGTGTGTGTGCCAGTGCTTGTGTGCCTGTGTGTATGTGCCTGTGCATGTGCGCGTGTACCTGTGTGTGTCTGTGTGTGCACGCATACCTGTGCCTGTGCCTGTGTGTGCATGTGTACCTGTGTGTGTGCCTGTGCCTGTGTGTACCTGTATGTTTGTACCTGTGCCTGTGTGCGTGTGTAGCTGTGTGTGCCTGTGCCTGTGCCTGTGTGTGCCTGTGTGTGCATGTACCTGTGTGTGTGCCAGTGCCTGTGTGTGTGCGTGTGTACCTGTGTACCTGTGCCTGTGTGTGCACGCGTACCAGTGTGTGCATGTGTATGTGCCTGTGCCTGTGTGTGCATTTGCAAGTCCCTTTGTGCGTGCCTGTGCCTGTGTGTGTGCCTGTGTGTGTGTGTGTGCATGTGCATGTGCGAGTCCCTGTGTGTGTCCCTGTGCCTGTGTGCACACGTGTGCTGGTGTGTGTGTGCATTTGCGTGTGCCTGTGGTGTGTGCAGCAGCTGGTGGGTGGCATACCCAAGCCACCCTATTCCAGGGCTCACTCTCATGTGTAGACTAAAAGGGACCCCATTTGAGAGGCAGTTGGCAAGGATGCCTGTTTACCCCTGCCTCTCTGCCAGCCTTCCAGGCCCCGTCCAGCCGGCTTTCTCTCCCACCCCTCGGGGCCCAGGGTTCAGCGTCTCCTACACAGGAGGAGGGTGTGGCCTTGGAAAGACAGCTTCCCTGGGGGAATTCCGAGGGGGCCTCTGTGCGGGCCTCCGTGGGGAACACTGGCCTGCACTCAGCACAGTCACGATGAGGCCCAGAGGGCTGTGCATGGGAAGGAGGTGAAGGAGGTCTCTGCCCCTCGACCCCAGCCTCGGACCTCTGCCTCTCAGGGACTTGACCCTTCCCTTCCTTCTGGGTGGGTGGAGCAGGCAGCGGGTGTGACCAAGAGAGATAAAGGCCCCTTCTGGGAGGCCGGTGCCCTGGGTCCCATGTCAGCTCGTGAGCAGCCAGCAGTGTTCCTCTGGGCCTGCTGCCGGGCACCTCCCTGTCTGGCTGTGACTTGAGAGGCCACAGGGACCACTTCCGACCACCAGGTGTCGCCAGCACTGGGTGGGGGCCGCGGGGCAGCCCCAGGCCTGTGGGGGGATACGGGACGGGTGGGGTCTTAGGGCTGCCCCACCTTCTCATGTTGTTTTAAGGCCCCCAAGAGCTCAGCCCCTGGACTGGAGCACCCTGGCCCCTCATCCCACAGGGAGCACTGAGGCGGCGCTGCAGGGATGCTGAGGAGGGGCGGGTGCCTGCAGGGCAGGGGGGCGGAGACACTCCAGGTCAGAGCCAGCCCGTCCCAGCTCTCACCCCTGCAGGGCTGGGAGCAGAGGGAGCACAGGTCCCAGCACTGACCCAGCAACGCCTTGGCCTGGCTGTTGGGGCCCCACCCCACTGCACCCTCCCTGAGCTGGGGCTTCCCTGTCTGAAGCAGGGTGGTGAGACATCCACCCCGCCCCGCCCTGCCTGGGTGATAATGAAGATTCAAGGTGTCTCAAGACTCCAGAAAGGAGTTGCTCAGTACAAATTGGCACCCTGGGCAGGCTTTCTAGAGGAAGCAATGGAATTTGGGTTGGATCTTGCATAGCAGATTCAGTGTGAGGATAATGCCATCCCCCAAATGTCTTTCTCCCTACCCTATTTCCTTTGTTAACTGCAACTTGACATTTGACTGTCAAGATTCAGAGTTGGTGTCACCTCCTCCAGGAGGGCCCCCATGACTACAATCCCTCTTCTTTACCCAGTGGCTGCCAGTGGGTAAAGAAGAGGCTGCTCATGTGTCAGCCACCCTGGCTGAGGCTGAGCTCTCAAGGGCGGGGCCTGGCCAGCTCAGGAGCTGGGTTGTATCTGCTAACCTTGCCGGCTCCTCCGGCCAGGCGCAGAGCTCCAGGGAGGCCACTGGGCCATTCCGAAGGAAGGCTGGAACCCAGGTCTCTGGGGTCTGGGTGGAGATCCCACTCCAAGGGGGCCGGGGGCCCCCCGGCCCTGCCCCTCCCCACCCACCTTCAGGTCGTAGAAGATGATGTCACCGAGCACCAGGTACACCTTCACATAGTACAGGGTCTCCTCGTCGAACTCCAGGGGCGAGTTGCAGAGAGACAGGGCCTTGAGGTAGAAGTGCTCCGCCAGCTCGCCGTGGCCCAGCCGGTGGTGCAGCGCGGCCAGCCGGTGGTAGGCCACCCGCTCGTTCAGCCGGTCCCCTGGAGGGCAGGCCGAGGGGGCAGGTGTGAGAACAGGGCTCCCTGGGGCAGGCAGGGCACAGGCCCCTCAGGAGCAGGCCTGCAGACCCCGGCAGCACCTGGCCCGCCTCCAGGCACCTGCGGTCACCTGGACAGCCCCGGCCAGTCCCTCCGGGCTCCCAGACTCACTTTTCCCATCTGCAAAGCAGAACTCAAAAGTCCTGCCCCTGTCTACTGGGAGGCTTTGGCAAAGTGGGACTTGGACGGCCCAGCTCTGTGCCTGCACACAGCCGCCTGCCTCTGCTCACTGCTTTTAACCAGGAGAGCCCAAATGGCGTGCAGCCCAGACACTCCCGGGCACCAGGGCTCCAGGCAACCCACAGACGTGACGTTCAACTCTTCCTGGGCGTGTCATCATCAGAGACCCCGGCGCTGGGGAGTCGCTGCGTGCCTGAACTCCAGGTGCCCCCGAAAATGCACAAGCCCACCCGGGCTGTCTCCGGCATCCTCCTCTTTCCAGGGCAAGGAGCGTGGAGCCTGCATTCAATGCATTCCCACACGGCTGCACACCTACTGTGTGCCAGGCCATGGGGTGCAAGGCTCCGGGGCATGCAGACCACTCAGGGCTTCCTCTCTGGAGGAGGACAGACAACCCTGGCACAGCACCAGGGGTGCCTGGCATTGAGGGGCAGGCTGCTGGAAGGGGAACTGGGATTTCATCAGCCAGAGAACTGCGTGGTTGATGAAGGTGGGAAGGGTATGAGAGAAAGGGGCCAATCGGTGCACATGAGGCCATGGCCACTCTGCCTGGCACGCTCAGGGACTGCCCAGATGCCCAGAGTGTCTGGAAGGCAGGGCACACTGGGCAGCCCTTATGGTCGGTGGGGGGAAGAGGCAGAGGAAGCAGAGCTCAGCCAGGCAGGGAGCTCTACACTTCGTGAGAGACCCCTGGCTGTGCCCAGGGCGGGACGGGGTAGCCAGCTGGGCTGGTCTGCCTGCCTGGACAGGACACCAGAGCACCCGGCAGCGGTGTGGGCTCCTGCCCTGCAGACCTGCAGGCTGCACTCTGGCAAGGTGTGGGTCCCGGCAGCGTGGGGTCCGGGTCTTACCCAGGGTGATGCTGAGTGCTAGGGCCCTGTGGGCGAACTCCAGGCCCTCCTGGGGCTCCTCCAGCGTGGCCAGCAGCGCCACCAGCTTGTTGCACAGCCGCAGCTCCGCCTTGTGGTTGCCCGTCGTCACTGCCAGGGGCAGGGCCCGGTCCTACCACACAGGCAGTGGGGGGGGGGGGGTCAGGCTTCCCACAGCCAGTTCAGACACCCAAGCTGGGGGCTGAAGGGTCACCTGAGGCCCATCCAGCCATGCCCTGCAGCCTCAGACCAGCCCCTCCCGCCTGGGCACCGGGGGTCTGGCTGAGGGGACCCAACACTCCTCTCTGCTCTGAGAACACCACACTTATCTGTGCCCAGGGCTGAGCCACGCCGTGAGCTCAGAGGAAGGGAGAAGCCGTCCCCACTTCGGGGTGCCTGTAGACCGGGACCCTGTCCCTGGGTCTCCCACTGACATGCTGTGTGTCCTTTGACACGTCCCCGTGCCTCTCTGAGCCTCAGTTTCCTCATCTGGGAGATGGGGACAGGACTTCCCACCATGGCTGCTTGAGCTCATGGGGTGAAGGGAGAGCCCGTTGCTGCGTCCAGGGCCCAAGCGTTTGATCCGGGCGGGGGTGCAGTCAATATCCCTCCCGGTGAAACCGCTAGGAAACTAAGCACGTGCATGGGGCGGCCCTGCCTCCGCGTGGGAGGCCTCTGCCCTGCCACACCTGTGCCTCAGCCCTCAAGGTGCCCCCAAGGGCCAACCCGCATCAGCCCGCAGGCCAGCTCACCCGGTAGAAGGACACGGCTTTCTCCCGCTCCCAGGCCCCATTGAAGAAGATATCTCCAGCCGCCTCGAACAGCTCCAGCCCCAGGCTGGGGTCGCCTGTGTACAGGGCCACATTCTGTGCCACCTGCAAGGAGGCGGAAGTTCCCTCAAGACCCACACCTGGCGAGGCGGCCACGCCCACCCAGGTGAGATGCCCCCACCAGCCTCAGCCTTTTCAGACCCTGTGTGCTGGGGCTGCCGCCACCGCTGGCACGAGGACAGTGACCGGATGCAGCTGAGTGCCAGGAGGTGCCTGTGCAGCTGCCGGCAGGCGAGGGCGTGTGAGGAGCTGGGCACGGAGCCCAGAGCCAGCCTCCAACCCACTCACCGCATGCTGACCTCGGCACTCTCTGCCCCGGCGTCTCAGGGCTCCCACACATCCTGCCCCTCTGCCCTGGTCCTTCCCGTTCGAACCCTGAGCAGGTGTCTAGCTAGTCAGGGTCGCCTGTCTCTCCCACCAGGAAGGTCAGCTCCACAAGGCCAGGGACCAAGCCATGGGCTTCTCTGCAGTGTTCAGGGCCTCCTGCTACTCCCGGCCCCCAGCAGGTGCTCCACAAATGCCCGCTGAGTGTGTGGCTGAGCAGCCTAGCACTGCCTGTGACCCGCCTGTGACCTGGCCAGACTCCACTGCTTGCTGTTCCCAGACAGTGCCAGGCTCCCACCCATGCCTGGGCCTCCGCACCTGTGAATCCTGCCCCCAGGGCTAGGCCTAGCCCACTCCCCCTGCACTCACACCAGCCTCTGGGCCTCCAGACTGCTGGGAGCCCAGCCCCCACTCCTTTCTGCGCTGCCACATCCCTGCCACAGCTCAGGGCTCCATATCAAGAGTGTTCCTGGATGGACCTGGTCCCCTCTTGGCCGTGAGCTCTTGATTTTTCTCCTCAGCTTGAGGAGGTATACAGCAGGTGCTCAAAAATGAAAGCCTCGCCAGGCTCATGGGCTCCTCAATTTGTTCCAGATCACACTGTGTTTGGGAAAGCCTCTGAAAACAGCTGCTATGATAGATGCATTTTGTAGGGAGATGTGCCATGTGTTGCTTGGAGCAAGTTCTTCTGTGTTAACTGAGTGGACATGTTATTTGAGCATGTGCTGTATACCAGCAGGTGCTGGGCCTGTGAGCGGCCCGTGCCTCTGCCCTCAGGGAGAAGATGCTGGGCATTTGGGGAGGATATGAGGGAACCAGTGGGAAGGAGGGGAAAGGCATACAGCAGGTGCTCAGCAGTGGCTTTGGAATGAGTAGATGGATGGATGAATGGATGGATGGATAAGCAGATGTATGTATGTATGTATGGATGGATGGATGGATGGATGGGCAGATGAATGGATGAATGGATGGATATGTGAATAGATGGATGCATGAATGGATGGATGGATGGATGGACAGATGGGTGGATGGATGGATGGATGGATGGATGGATGGATGGATAGGTGGGTGGAATGATGTGTGTATCTATGTATGGATGGATGGGTGGATGATGCATGTATGTACATATGGATGGACGGAGAGATGGATGGATGGATGAATGTATGAATAAACAAATGGACTGACAGACAAATAAATGGAGGGATAAATGAATGGCTGGATGGGTGGATGGATGGGTGGATGGGTGGATGGATGATGGATGGATGGATGAATAGATGGATAGATGGATGATGGATGGATAGATGGAAGGATGAACAGGTGAATGGATGGATAATGGAAAGATGGATGAATCATGGATGGAAGGACAAACAGGTGAATGGACGGATGATGGAAGGATAGATGGAGGATGGAGGGATGGATGTATAGATGGATGGATGACAGATGAAAGGATGAACAGGTGAGTGGATGGATGATGGAAGGATGGATGATGGATGAATGGATGATGGATGGAAGGACGATCAGGTGAATGGATGGAGGATAGAAGGATGGATGGATGATGGAAGGACGGACGGATGGATGATAGGATGAACAAGTAAATGAATGAATGGACACATGCGTGGATGGATGATGGACGGACGGATGGATGGATGGAAGGATGAACAGGTAAATGGATGAATGAACACGTGAATGGATGGATGATGAACAGACAGACGGACGGACAGGTGGATGGAGAGTGAGCCTGTGCAGGGCCCTCGTGCGTCCTCACCTGGATGTACAGGTCCACTAGCTCACTCTGCCGCAGGATGTAATAGATCTTTCCTGCTTGCAGCCAGGCATGCGCCTCCTTCTCCTTCTTCTGGAGGTCGATGAAAATCCCCAGACTCCGTTTGGTGTAGTCCAGAGCGGATTTATAGGCCCTGGCATGAGACACGGGTGTCAGAACGAGCGCTCCACAGCCTGGAACCAGTCTGCCTCTTCCCGTGGGTCTGGTGACAGATGAATTTCGAATGCGGGGTCTGGGAATGGCCCTCTTGTGTGCACAGTGTCCTGCCCTTCCCAGACTGCTGGGAGGGCTGGATGAACAAGTGTGGTACGGAAAGGATGAAGGACGTCCTGAGGGAACCAGGCATCATGCTGCCCCGTGGCAGGAGGGGTGTGCTCCATCTCCCCCGGCTCCCAGACACGGCCTGTGTCTTCTCCAGATGCAGCCCTGGGTCGACCCGCGGCCCATCAGCTCAGAACATCCGATGCCAATGAAACAAACAACCCCAAGGAGAGTGCAGCTGGGGCCCTGGGCCAGCTTCCCTGTGCCCCCACCCTGCCCCGCTCCGCCGCGCCCCGGGCCCCTGCCACTGCAGAACCTCACCGCTCGGTGCCCAGGGACAGGTAGAGCTGGCTGATGGTCTCCAGGAGCTGCCCCTCCAGCACCTTGTCGGCCACCCTGCAGGCCAGGGAGAGCTGGAGCTCATGGTAGATGACACACTGGGCCTCGCTGGGCATGACGGCACTGTAGAAGTGGCACAGCCGCTGGACGGCCCTCAGCTGGCCTGGGCGGAGGACGAAAAGGAAGACGTCAGCCTCCCAGCACTGCAGCGAGGCCGGCCGGGCTCGGAGGCCCCTGTGGTGTGTTTGCCTCCTCCACGCCTCCGTGAGCCGGGACCACATAGGCAGGAGACTGCGCACAGACAGGCCTGGAGCCCGTGCAAGGGTAGCCGCTGAGCACACCGCGACATGGACACAGCTTGGGAGAGCGCCAGCCTTCTCTACAACCCGCAGGGCTGAGGTCCTGGCCAGGCCCCGCCCCTGCACCAGGCTACCTGTTTCTGCTTCACAAAGCCCCTCTGGCCAGGACCATGGCTGCCTTCAGCCCAAGCTGACGAGGCCGGGAGCACTAGCAGCCCTTGCCACAGATGGAACCCTGAGAGACCAAAGCCAAGCATCGTGTCTGCCACACACAGTATCATGTTGGGGGAATGAGGTTCAAAGCCGGCCCCTGGCGTTCCCACGCCTGTCCTCCTCCCAGGCAGCCAGGCTCCAAACCCACTGGCTTCCCGGCCTCTCCCAAAGCCAGGGCGCTGGGAACGGTGGGAAGCTTCTGACTGTCTGGTGTCAGAAACATGCCAGAGATTAACACCAGGAACCAGGTACACCCAATGGACGTCGATAACAGCAGCAGAATACACAGTTCTCTCAAGCACCCACCGGAGAGCCCCCAAGACAGACCACATGCCAGGCCACGGAACGAGCCTCAGTGAGTGGAAAAGGCCTGAGAGCAAAGCTGAGGTGATCTTCAGCGGCACGGACGTGAAACTGGAAATCAGCAGTGAAAACAATTTGGGGAATCCAAAAATACGTGGAAATTACGCACTCCTAAACAACCAGCGAGTCAAAGGAGATCATCAGGGAAACCGAAAGTAACTGGAGAAGCAGGAACACGGAAGCACAGCAGGGGCCGGGCGCGGTGGCTCACACCTGTCATCCGGCACTGTGGAAGGCCGAGGCAGGAGGATCACTGGAGTCCGGGAGTTCGAGACCAGCCTGGGCAACATGGTGAAACCCCGTCTCTATAAAAAATACAGTGTGATGGCAACATGTCTGTAATCCCAGCTACTCGGGAGGCTGAGGCATGAGCATGGCTTGAACCTGGTTAGAGGCTGCAATGAGCTGAGATTACACCATTGCACTCCAACCTGGGCTACAGCAAAATGCTGTCTAAGACGAAAAAAAAAAAAGCACAGTATATCAAAAAATTCCAAGATGCAAGTAAGGCAGTGCTCAAAGGGAAATGTTAAATCAAAAACCTAAACTTGGCTGGGCACGCGGCTCACACCTGTAATCCCAGCACTTTGGGAGGCCGAAGTGGGTGGATCACGAGGTCAGGAGTTCGAGACCAGCCAGGCCAACATGGTGAAACTCCGTCTCTACTAAAAATACAAAAATTAGCCTGGCGTGGTAGCGTGCACCTGTAGTCCCAGCTACTCAGGAGGCTGAGGCAGGAGAATCGGTTCAGCCAGGGAGATGGAGGTTGCAGTGAGCTGAAATTGTGCCACTGCACTCCAGCCTAGGCGACACAGCAAGACTCTGTCCTCAAACAAACAAACCAAAAAACCCTCAACTCCAACCTTGAGAAACAAGAAAATGAAGAATGAACTAAACCCAAAGCAAGTAAAAGGAAGAAAATAATAAACGTTAGAATGCGGAATACGGTAGGAAAATAGAGAGAATAGGGAAACAGTACAGATAAACGACACAACCAAAAGTTGTTTTTTTGAAAATACTAATAAAATTGACAAATCTTTCACCAGACTGACCAAGAAAAGCAAGACAGGATACAAATGGCGAACATCAGAGACTGAACACCGTGGTTCACAAGCCCGTAATCCCAGCACTCTGTGAGGCCGAGGCGGGAGGATCACTTGAGGCCAGCACTCAAGGCCAGCCTGGGCAACGTGCTGACACCCCACCTCTATTAAAAATCAATCAATACGTAAAACCCCACATTTCTAAGATCAGAAATGAAGAGGGGACATTATTGCCGACCTGACAGAAATAAAAGGATTCCATGAAAACTCGGAGCAATTGTACAACCAGCAGATCATCCAGATGTAGCGGCCAATTCCAGAAAGACAGACTACCGAAAGTGACTTGAAAATGACCCCAAGTAAGCATGTGGGGTACCAGCCTGCCCTCGGTCTCCTGGGCTGTTGGCGAGGGGTGGGGAGAGGGAAGCATGACCCCTGTCCCCCTGTCCTGTGTTCCCAAGTCTGAATCCCACCCTGGGGGAGGGCCTCGTAGAAGGAGGTGCCACTGGCTAATGTGGCCAGGACCCCACCAGAGGCCACCAGTAGGGGCTGGGGTGCTGAGTTCCTCCTGGAGGTCCCAAACGTCCCCTTCTAGTCAGAGAATGCCCCTGGGGAAGACGCCTGGGTCTGAACCCTCCCGCCCCTCCCCGGGCCAGGAGCGGGTGCCAGGCCCGTGCTGAGAAATGGACAGATTGGGCCACAGCCCCGGGGCTCTGAGCCAGGCCACAGGAGGCACCTCTGAGTGGTCTCAGTATGCCGGGATATCCATCCTGGGGGGACGGACAAAGCGCTGCAGGGCAGGGGGGACCCCCGACGGCACCCCAGGTCCTGGCCACTTGCCCGGACTCCGCTTCCCCGTCTGCGCCCCGCCGTCTATA